CTGATCTTGTCAGCAGGGTGCGATCGGGGGAGAGAAAGGACAAGAAGGTCGGCGGGGGAGAGAGGGTGAGGTACAAGGGAGAGATCTCACATGGTAAGTACGGAGGCGCGCGTGCCAGGGATGGGACGGGATGGAGAAGACGAGGACTCGGGGAGGGGGGGGGGGAGAGTCTCAGGCTAGGGACTGAGCCCGACGCTCAGGGCCGTCTTCAGAGCAGGCGCCTTGGCTTTCTCCAGGTCGGCCACTGGCCGGGCGGTGTTGCCCCAAGGTCCTGCCGCCGCTGTGCCACTCCTCCAACACGCATCCGGGTGCGTCGGTCTTAGATGGAAGGCGTGCCAACACTGCCTACGAGGGAGGGGAAATGTTATCTCCACCCCGGCCAACATTTGTTGCGTTCCCGTCGATGACGCCTTTCGTTGTTCCCCCCCCCCCCCCCCCATACGCCAGCCACGGGGGGAGGAGGAGGGGAAGAACTGATCGACGGAATAAGAGAGATGGCGAGCGCAGTCACACACACACACATGTGCCAGCATCACACACACACAATATGGTGAGGCTCCTCCAGAGGTGCCCTCCTTTTTTGCCAAACGTCGGCAGCTCACATTCCGATGGTCCACTTGGGCAGTTAGGGGGAAATCTCTCCTGCCCACTTTGCGGAGGGCAGCCAGGAGGGGCGACGCGTGGGGGGGCCCCCGCGAGAGTGGCGTACGTTTGGTGGGTCCATCCCAAAAGAAGGAGCATGTAACCATGATGTCACCTCCGACGCCGCGTGGGAACTTCGCTCCGCTCACCTCCCCCGCACGCGCCTCACCTCGCCCTGCTCTGTTGGCCCCTGCTGTCGGCTCTTCGCCAAATCTGGCGATGTCCTCCGGGTGATCAAATGTTTAGGAGGTCCATTTTTCTACCTCCCTCCCCCCGGAGGGAGGGAGGTCTTAGCATCGCCCCTCAGCGATGCGCTCCATGCCCCCTCATTTTCCCCTCCTTTCCCGTGTATGCCCTCTCCTTTCCGGGGCACCCCAACATGCGGGCCCCCTCTTTCCCCACCACGCCCACCAGAGGACACGCAGCACCTTGAGGGGGATGGTCGTCCTCCTTGCGGAGGCCCTGGCTTGCCGTTGCTCGGCCTCCGTGCGTCTCCCCCGCTAAAGACGCAGTTCCCCCGCTTGCCTTTCCTTTTGTTCTTGTGTCTTTGTCCAAGCGGTGACCCTCTCCGGGGGACGGGACGCCTTGGGTGGTTCAGGGAGGCCCTCGCCGGCCTCCCAGAATCACATGCCGGAATCGGCGCGTTTCAGTGTAACCATAATGTCACCTCCGACATTGCGTCGGAACTTCGCTCCGCTCACCTCCTCCGCACCTGCCTCACCTCGCCCTGCTCTGTTTTCCCCCTGCTGCCACATCCCTGCTAGATCTGGTCATGACCTTCACGTGATCGTATAGCAACGAGGTCCACTAGTCGACCTGCACTTCCCCGTTGGGGGGTGCTGGCGTCGCCCGAACGGCGACGCCACCCATTCTCTCTCAATTCCCATGTATTCCCATGTATTCCCCCTTTTCTGGGCACCCTATATAAGGGGCCCCCGTTCCTGCCTCCCCTCCAAGGACTCAGCACCTTGAAGGATAGTCATTCTCTCTTACGGAGGTTTGATTTCCCATAGTCCTGTCTCCGTACGTCGCTCCCTCTGGAGCGGTGTGACCTAGTCCTTGATGTAATCCCCATAAAGACGCAGATCACCAGCTTTCCCTTCTTTTGTTGTTGTATTCATGTCCGAGTGGTGACCCTCTCAGGACGGAACGCTCTGGGTGGTTCAGGGAAGGCCCTCACCGGTCCCCCAGAATCACATACCAGAACCGGAGCGTTTCATTC